TTCCTTACAATTCTCTCCCACCATAATCTTCACCAATAATACAATCTACAAATAACATATTATTTATAAATATTAGTTTCAATTTTTAAAACTATAAAATAATTATAATAATAGAATTAAAAATATAATATATTTTTTAATTTCAATCTTAATACAAATCTAGAGTTAATACTATTAAGTTAAATTTTTAACTCCTCTTTTACTTATCAATAAACATTAATAATCGAAAAATCAACTTCTAAACTAATTTCTATTATCAAAATTTCTTTTTATTTCATAAATTCTCACCTAAAATACCCAAAATTAAAATTGAGTCTCTAGCTTAGAATCATAATCCTATAGCCATAATAATTCATTTTTCATCCCAACCAAATAATCATCTAAAACCTCAATAAATCAACATATATTTTCAGATCTAGTCAAAATTTGATTCATAAGCCACAAATTCAAAGATTATCAACAAATTTATATACTTAGAACATTTATTATACTACTAACAACCTCGTAAACCATATTTATTCAACATAAATTCATCCATCTTCCAGATCCTAAATTTTCTACCACCATAAAATCAGAAACCAAAGAGGAATGAAGACTAAGAAAGTTTTTTAGAACACTTACTTAGTCTTGAAAAGCTTAAAATCACACTCTAAATATCCTATTAAAAAATTCTTACCTTAAACCCAGCACCGGCGAATTTGGCTCACAGACTCTCTCTCTGTCTCAGCTCACGCACAAAGGAAAGAATGAAGAAATGAAGAAAACAGGTGAGTTTTTATAAAAAATTCAATGGGTCTCACATTTTTTTATTATTTCTTCTTTCCCTTCTCCCCCTTTTTTTTATTATTATTTATATACATAATCATTGCACCGAAAGCTGCTCATATTTTATAATAAATCAAATATTTTATAATATTTAACATAATATTCCTAATCATATTGAAGATGAGACTAGAGTATAATTTTTTAAAATGAAAAAGAAGTCTTTACAATTCTAACAAAACAAAGGAATGCTAGTGTCTTTTACTCTGTAATATATTAATTTGCAAAAATGAAAATTTAATTTTTTTATTTTAAAAATTTGTTTTGTTCGTATATATTAAAAATATAAATAATTGCTTATTTTATTTTATAATGTATTGTCTCATATAAGTTTAAATTTAAGGAATAACTTCTTTTTCTTTTTTTCCTATAATATCTTCATAATTGGCAAGTATGAGATTAAAATTTTAATAGGATGATACCTATAACGAACAACTTCTATTTTGCAACAAGTTACTTGTATAAATACTAAAAAATATAATTATTTTTTTAAATTTTCTCACCTCTTGTAATTTGAAATATAATCCTACTTGTTCTTTTTTAAAATGTGCTGCCCAATGTATTGCCTTAAGAAAAATAAAACATATATTATAATGAGTTATGTTACAATTTATGTGATAATATTATTTATAAATCATAATTATAATAGTTGTAAATCAAATAAATGATATAATTCGTGTTTTAATACCATTTATCAATCACATGTACAAGCATTACAAGTAACATAATGACTATTAAGAAAAGATTATGCATACATAGAAGATAATTCATTAACATTACATAATTAACTTGTAGCCCATAATATATTTTGCTTAGACTAGAGGCACATAACTACATCAATATTTTCTATAAATGTTTAAATCATAATTAACTTTTACATATAAATAATAGAATAATACATTTTTATACCATTGCAATTGAAGAATATAAATAAAAAATTGTCCTATATATAGTCATATAAAATACTTTGATTTGTTAATCCATGTTAATAATAAATATATAAAAAATTATGTTTATCTAAATCGTGTTATCCCATATAAATTTTATTATATGTCTAATACTTGTTATTTTTAATAAGAATCTTATTTTCACCTCTAATTTTTACTATATATCCTACATGATCTTTTAAAATATATTTTTTTTGTTTTTTTATACTTTATCTAAAATTTTAACATTTACAAATGAAAATTTGTATGGTAAATGGTTTTCATTTTACGTAAATAATTTTTATTAATTAAATTATAGGTCCCACTCGCATTCATAAATGTATACCTTCAGTCACAATTTTTAATAGTAGATCCCACGTACTTTTTAAACCCCACTATCCTAATTGTTTAAAAATTAATTTATTAAAATCTTACATTCTCTTTATTATTTTAGAGCTTTTCAATTTATATTGAATTTAAAATATTTGAAGATATAAAAAATTTATAATCAAGCCTGACTCTTAACATTTTTAGCTTTTGAGTTTATTTAAGGTGGTCTAATTTAACTACCCCAAGTTATTAAAAATTATTTTATTTGATTTTCTCTTTATTAGTAAAAATCTTATACCTACCTCTAATTTTTATTATGAATCCTATATAATCTTTTAAAATATAAAAATTTTATTATTTTTTTCATCTTATCTAAACTTTTAACATTTGTAAATGAAAATTTATATTGCAAATGTTTTTTGTCCTACATAAATAAATTTTATTAATTAAATTACAGGTCTCACTCACATTTATAAATGTAGACCTCCACCTTTGCATATTTTTTTTGACTAATTTATATATTTATTTTTTAAAAAATTTATAAAATAAATACATTTAAATAATAAAAAACTAATTTTTTGATAATTTAAGTGATTTTTAGATAATATTTATATTCAAATAAGAGTTTTTTGGTCTAATATACATGATTTAATAGTTAATTAATAATTAGATGAATGAAAATAAAATCTTAAAAATAAAAAAGCTTGTATTTTATGATAATCCATACTAAGAAATGTTCATATAAATTTCAAAAAATAAAAGAGATGTATCATTAATTAAGATACAAATAAATAAAATATTTTACTCATTTTTAATTATAAATTTTATATTGATAATTTATTTTTTCAGGTTCCACATGTACTTCTTTTCCTACAAGGCCCATATTATTTTGTACTTTTTATACTGTGTCACATTTAAAAAAATAACAAATGAAAATAAAAAAAGTGAAAAAGTCAGTCCGACAGTGACAAATAATTTTTTTTTAAAAAAAGTAAAAAATCAGGTGGTACTATAGACCTATAATACCACCAATGATAAACAAAAATTTGTAAAAAAAAGTGACAAAGTCGCATGGTACTGTAAATCCAATCAGTGACAAATAAAAAATTAAAAAAAAGTGAAAAAGTCGGTAACATCCAACAGTAAATACAATAGATTATAGATGATGCAGTTAAAAAAAAAAGGCATAATTTACAAAAAAATATTAAAAACACAGTAGAAAGAACAGTAATTCAATACAATTTACAAAAGCAACAATAAAGGCTATAGATAAAGTTTTTAAGTTCTAATTGATCTAAAATACTTCACCCAATCCTTATTATAAAGTACTTTTTAGAAGAGATTAATGATCCTAGATAAATTTTAGAAAAAAAAAAATAATTGAACGTCAATCATCTTTTATAAATTTAAAAACACTAACTATATTATTGGAGAAGGGTGAAGTTGATTAATTTTATGAAAAAATTAATCACTTAATCATTGTAATTTTGACTCAATTAAAATCAAATTTTTAAATTTTTAACTTATTATAAATTAATATTTATAGTTTTAACTTGATTATAATTTAATCATAAACTTCAACTCTTGTAATCCATTACTTATAGTTTTAATCATTTAAAATATTAGTTCATATATTTTAAAAATAAATTATAAATATTAAAATTATATTAAAATTTAGGACTAATATTTTAAATTATTAAACCCTTTTTATCTCCTTGAAGATTATGAAGATTAAAATTTTAACATAGTTTTAATATTCATGATTTTATTTTTTAAAATATGAGAACCAATATTTTTAAATGGTTAAAATTATATAGACTGAATCATAAGAATTAAAGTTTTAAAACTGAATTATAATTATAAAAATGAAGTTACAATGAATCAAAATTTATAAATTATGTTACAATTGAATTAAAATTACATGAATTAAATGATTAATTTTTTTTAATTTTATTTGATTTTACAATTTGGACAGGAAGCAGTGCATCACACTTAGGCTTGCAATTCTACCTCGTCTAGTTTAAAACAATGCTAAAATTAATTATTAACCCCCCACGTTTCTAAACTTAGAAATCATATCTTCCCCTGAAATACTCCTATATATGAATGAAGAACGTACTACTACATGACACAAATATTTTTGCAATTTTATTGAAACTACCCTGGTTTTGGTCCACATATAAATTTTTTATATATATATTTTAAATTTTTTTTAAGATACTCGATTAATTTAAATATACAAATACATATAACATATATACATATGTAAAATAGATGTGTTTTAAATAAAACTTAGGTAGTTAAACGCATATAATCAAGAAAAATTTTTTATATATTAAAAATAACTTTAATTAAATTACCCTATTATAAAATTTTTAGTAAGAACTAAACGAATGTACCCAGGTGCCTTTTCTTTGGAAGAGATAAAAATTTTAAAAAACTTTTATACACTTTAACCCTTTAAAAATATAAAACATGTAATGTCAAGAAGACATTTACCAAACTTGTTTCAAAGGCAAACAATAATGTAAGGTTGGTAATTTGAATCAAGTTTGATAGGTTAATCTGAATTCAACTGAAAAAATTAAATCGAGTTTGGTTATATTAAAAAGTCAGGATACTTTAAATTCAATCAAAAAAAGCTCATCTCAAATTAAACTTAATGATTAGCTTCATATGTACATAAAGTTGCTAATTTCAGTCAAGTTCAACAACACTTGGCCTAAAAAGATTAAGATCTAAAAAGATCAAACTTGTTTGTATAAACTTTTTAGAAAAGATAAAATATTTTAAATTTAATCTAAATGAGCTGGCTGAATTGAGTCCCGTGGCTCGTTGGAATCACTAGATCTACAACAATGGGACCTTAGGCCCACCATATAATCTCAGCGCGTGTGCATAAAGAGGGCCTTGGGACAATATGGCAATGTCCAGAGGAGGAGCGCAGTACGTGGAGTAAGCAGATGGAGATGGAGAGCAACACTGCGGCTCAGGCAGAGACCGAACACCGTCGACGGCGACGACAAAGACGAGGAGGCCTCAGAACTCTGCCTTTCATCCTCGGTCTCCTCCTCTTTACCTTCTCTTCTTCTCTCTTTTCATTCCTTGCCAATGCCACCCATATATCTCTCCTCTGCATTATCTTACTGCTTCATCTTTGGAATTTTCCACTCTTGATCTTCTTGCCTTTGTTTTAGCACTAATTGGCTCCATCATTATTTTCCTACTTTTTTTTTTTTAATACTGCCAACTGATAAAGCAGCTCCCATACGCAAATAAACGCTGTGGCGTGGAGTCATTCATGGCTACCCTTTCCAAGACAAGAAATCTCAAGATAATATTTTTACTGTGGGGACGCTGGACGGGAATTACTAGATGTCTTAGATTGTCTTAACTAACATTGTTTCTAATTGATTATAGATCCCATGACGCCTGTCCAGTTACACTGTGATGGATCTGAAGCTGAATTTATCGTTTCTGGTTAACTTTTGATTTGCAGCAAATGAAGTGTGTGACAGATTTGCTACGGCAGGATTTCATGCGAACCTGATAAGCTACCTGACCCAGGAGATGAACATGCCTCTCGTATCTGCCTCCAACACTCTCACCAACTTCTCCGGAGCTTCCAGCTTCACCCCTCTCATCGGTGCTTTCATTGCCGATTCTTTTGCTGGCCGCTTCTGGACCATAACCGTCGCTTCTCTCATCTATCAACTGGTTTCTCTCTTTCAGTAATCTACCACATATAACTGTTATTGCATTGCTTGCTGTCAGACTCGGAGTGTCTATGGCTTTTAAGATGCAGTTTAAAATTCGCATATAAAATATATTCAAGTATCATCAACTTCTTCTATACATACACAGGGTTTAATTAGTATTACTGTATCAGCGATACTGCCATCTCTGCGTCCCCCGCCATGTCCAACTCAAGTGAACTGCAAAGAAGCCTCGTTTTCTCAACTATGGGTGCTCTATGTGTCTCTCCTTCTCACATCAATTGGGTCCGGAGGTATTAGGCCTTGCGTTGTGCCTTTTTCTGCAGACCAATTTGACATGTCCAGAAAAGGCGTCGCAGCCAGGAAGTGGAATCTCTTCAACTGGTACTTCTTTGCCATGGCGTTGGCTTCTTTAAGTGCTCTCACTGTGGTGGTTTACATCCAAGACAACATGGGTTGGGCATGGGGGCTTGGTATTCCAACCATCGCCATGCTCATCTCTGTTATCGCCTTTGTGTTAGGCTCACCACTTTACAAGGTTCAGAAACCAAGTGGGAGTCCTCTGCTTCGCTTGCTTCAAGTCAGTGTTGCTGCTATGCACAAGAGGAAGCAGGTTCTGCCCCAAGATTCCAACCTTCTGTACCAAAATAAGCAGCTTGATGCTCAAATTTCCTTGCACGGAAGGCTTCTTCACTCTGATCAGTACAAGTCAGTCCACAACTTGGTTCAGTTCTTTCACCACATATCAAAGTCTGACTTTTATTTCCTCGGGTCCATATCTGCAGGTGGTTGGATAAAGCAGCAATAGTAACAGAGGAGGGAGCCAGAGATGCGAATGCTCCTCTAAACTTATGGACATTAGCCACTGTGCATAGAGTTGAGGAGCTAAAATGCATAATTAGAATGCTTCCCATTTGGGCGGCTGGCATATTGCTCGTAGCCTCTTCATCACACCTTCATAGCTTTGTGATCCTACAAGCTCGCTCCATGAATCGCCACCTCGCTCATTCATTCCAAATCCCACCAGCCACCATGTCCATCTTCAGTGTGCTAACCATGATGTTCGGTGTTGTTCTGTACGAACGCCTCTTTGTTCCCTTGGCTCGTAGATTCACAGGGAACCCTTCCGGGATCACGTGCCTACAGAGAATGGGAGTGGGATTTGTTGTTAGTATTGGAGGCACAGTGGTTTCGGCACTTGTGGAAATGAAGAGAAAATCAGTCGCTTTCAAGTACCACTTACTGGATGATCCAAAAGCTACTATTCCCGTCAGCGTGTTCTGGTTGGTACCTCAATACTTTCTTCATGGGGTGGCTGAAGTTTTCATGTCTGTAGGACATTTGGAGTTTCTGTACGACCAGTCTCCTGAGAGTATGAAAAGCAGTGCTTCAGCCCTGTATTGCATAACCACAGCCATCGGGAGTTATATAGGAACCATGATGGTGTCTTTGGTTCATGACTACAGTGGGAAGGGAAGTAATTGGCTTCCTGATAGGAATATAAACAGGGGAAAATTGGACTATTATTACTTTCTAGTTAGTGGGATTCAGGTTATAAATCTGATTTATTATCTGATATGTGCTTGGCTTTACACTTACAAGCCCCTGGAAGAAGTTAGTGAGATAATGAACCAAGAGTCCAAAAGTCAAATGGGAGGTGTAAAGCAAGAGATATAGAACATTTAAAAAAAAAAAAAAAGAACGTTCGACTTGTTTGTCTTGATGTGTGCATCCACTTACATTTATTCTTGAAATCTAAAAAAATTATAGTATATTCCCTCATCCTTTTATTATTTATTTATTTTTTCAATGAGTTCTATTTTTTAAACCTCAAATTAAATTTTAAGGGCCTCTTTTAAATTTATAAAGGTTAGAAAAATAACCTGTCTGGCTGCCTACCCATTTAAAAACATGTAGACACATGCATACCTTGGGAATAGCATTTGTGGGCGCAGAGGGATAAGGAAAAACTAAATCCAAACATGATCGAAAGAGTTTAATAATTAGCTTTGACAAAATGAAGAGGATCCACAAGGCTACAGCTAAATCATGAAATGATATTTTAATAATGTGGTATATATAACCTAATAAAGTTTCTAGTTTAAAGGAAGAGGAGATATAAAGATCTAACTAAATCCAGGTCGACTATAAAACATTGAAACTTGAGACTTTCCCCTCTTCAGTGTTTCCTATGATTGAATGAAAAAAATCTCGGTATTAATTAACGAAAGGGATTTGAAAGTTTCGAAACTGCTAAGAATCAAAATGTCTAGAGCCTAGCAAATGTGTGTTTCCTCCGGGAGTTGAAGGAACTGCCATATTTCGTCCTAATTCCAACGTGAGTGTTTAAGCCTTTGATCCTGATAACATGTGCATGAAAACGAATGGCACATTTCAAAGATTCCTTCACCGAAACCAGATGGAACTCGATTATATATAAGTTCCTGGAGACGGTGGATGTGGATCCTATTTCTCACAGGTTGACGTGTATCTGTATCTCTCTCTCTCAGTCTCACACTTGATCAAGACAATTTTGTTTTTTATGCTTACAACCAAGTTAACTGCATGTGACTTTTGATCCGTGAATCCCATTAACAAATGAATGATCCCGTATTATCTTTTCCAAGAATATTTCCCTCAGAAAATTCAAAATTTTATAATTATTATTTTAGAATCAATAAAAATTGCAACGAACCTGCAGACAGCATATTATTAGCTAAGAAATTTAGTCCATCTCCAAAGTGGTTCACTTCATATTCAGTATTAACCATTACCATAAAATACTGTCCCTGCTATCAGATTAGCTCTAGAGAGAGATGGAAGTGAAGTGGTGATGAATAAAACTGGTGGGTGCAGCAAATGATCAAAGCATGTGAACGTGTCATTGGTGTCAGTGTCCAATACAACGACTAAATTCACCAGAACATTAAACCTCAATCCCCAACTCGATCGGCACCTTCATCTTTATTACAAGCTCAAGCCAAATAAAGAGAGCTTGATGATGCTATTTCTTTGCAGGGAAGGCTTTTACACTCGGATCACACCACTTCTTGTAACTTCGCTACATTGCTCTTATTGTTGTATTTGGACGTTTTTGAAACTGACTTCGCCAATTAATGATATTTTTCGTTTGACACACTCACAAGTAAACTACAGCACGTGTTTTCCTTGGTGTTATTTTTTGTTAGATTATTCCTTCAAGGTGCATCCTGATACATATTGCTTCTGTAAACGAATACAAGTTTATTGACTGCTGAGATTTTTGAGAATGAATTAGAGCACAACATAAAGGAAATAAAGAAATGAGTGTCTACAAGTGAACTCGCCATTCTTGTTCTCTCTTTCAATGCACAAAGCACAATATGAGGAAGAATATAATCACAAGGTTCTGTATCATAGCAAAGAGTTTAATATTTATTTCTTTGCACACAAGACAGTAAGTTCAAGGAAGTCAAGTACTTACATAACATGAACACGTTGGCTTCCGGATCAATGTGTGAGATCAGCTTCTTGAGTATTTAATTGTCGGAAGTCAAGTGGACAAGTATGACCAACGCCTCATTCCCTTTTGCTTGTAGAATCACATGTCTGCAACAAATGGGAGCGGGGTTTGTGGTTAGCATGTTGTTCATAACATTTCAGTTCCAGGATTTTTATAAAATTTAATTAGAGAAGGCCCATGTTATTTATGATTTGTGAATTGTAAATATTATGACTTTTTTAAAAAGTACAAATGATCAGTAGACCGATATTAATACAAAATATAAATTTTAAAATAATTCGCATGCTTATGAGTTAATTGCTCATATCCAAGGGGGAAAAAAGCTAGCTATCTAGGTAGTGTGTGAATCATGAGATTACTTTAATTGCTTAACAAGTTTTTACAATATGAAGGTAATAAAATTTCTTAATTCAAAAGTTTTCCCTCCAGCATATGACGTATTTTTTTAATTTATATCAGTATACAATATAAAATTTATATAAAAAATCACACTATTTATATAATAAATTTTATTGTTAATGATTATAGTTGTCCGAACAATAATGTCGCCCCCAAGAGGTCTTAAGTTTAGCTGAGTCTTGACATATTTGTGTGCATGTTAGGGGTAAAATTTTAAAAATATAATAAATCTTATTTTAAACTTTGTATAGTATATAAAACATTTAGTATTTAAAACATAATGAATTAACCTTTGAATTTTCACCAAGAGACATGTTCATATTACATAACCAAACGTGTCTCAAACAAGAATATTTTTAGTAAGATAAGAAAACATCACTGCATGTAATGAGAAAAATATTTGTATGGAATTTGAAATAAAAATAATGTTTACCATTTACGATTTTTTTTATTTTTTTATATTTATATGTATGATATTGGTACCTTGCCCAAAACTTATTTTAATTAAGAAGTAACAATGTTTTTAACTTTCAATAATTTTTTCGTTAGAGTTTAATTTTATCATAGTTTCCTTTTTCCCACGGATTTTTGCCGCTCCGTATTATGTTTTTCTTTCTTCGAAAAATATTTTACATTAAAATAAATTTGCCAAGTGATTTTCTAATAAATAAGTGAAGTCGAACATGTTCGGAGCGAGGGGAGCTCGTCGGGTTTAACCGGCATCGGAACTTCTGGTGAACGCGGAGACTTTCAGACTTCAGAGCATCTCCCGATTTCTTCTCCGAAACTGCTTTTGTTAACTCAGAGAAGGAAAAGAAACGCAAATTTTATTGCCCGGATAGATGGCAGAGGTGTCCATCTGTAGCAGTACCAGTAGCTCTGAGCTGACCCCAGAGGAAGAGAGGATTATGATAAGAGACATTGCCCTCGCTGCCGAAGCTAACATCAAAGAGGGGGAGACCTTTTACTTGATCACCCAGAGGTTCGATTTTTACTTCTTCAGTCCCCTTTCCCTCGTTTTCTTTTTCTCTTTTGTTCCGCCGAAAATTGTTAGGTTATTCTGACGCTTCCTCTGAACAATATAATCCTCCGTGGGAGATGCTCTTGTTCTCTTTGTTAATATATGAAAAAAATAACGTGTTGGAGGACTAAATGATACTAGAGCGCTAAGGTTGGAGAACTGAGTAGCACAGAGTGAAGGAAAATCGTAGCTGTTCTCCCCCTATTTCTCTTTTGGATTATATTACTCTGACATTGTTTCGTTTGAGAAAATGGGGCGGTGTCAGAATTTGCTGATCCCCACTCCCGGGGTTTTGTTCTGTGTTTGGACCCCAATTTTATTCGTTTTCTGCTCATTTGAGAATAAGTTTTTGAAGACCGTCAATAATTTTCTGCTAATTGCAAATTTAAGACAAATATGTGAAAATAATAACAATTCTCATAATTCACTATCAAAGCGGCAGAGTCAGTTTCAGTTAGTATCTCTTAGATTTAATCTGGCAGCCAATGGTTCTCAATGGGTGGCGGTAATCTCTGAGCCCTCTAGACCTTTCTTATTTTGTGGAGCACCAGTATTCTAGTTCTACTTTTGAAATCTAACTGTACTTGCGCCAGTATTCTAGTTCTAATTTTGGTACCGCAGTGATTCACTAGTTATTTCTTTGCTCTCTGTTGTGGACTAATGGAAGAGATGTTGAACTTGAAGATTATGGGGTTTGAAATTGAGAAATACACTGTAAAATTTTATCTCTTTGCTGCTTGGGTTTGAGACTTCTTCTCCCCTGATTTTGCACTGCTGTTTGACTTTCATTTTATCTGGGTGATTATGCATCCAAAATAATGTTCAATAATTGCTTTTGCATGTTTAGTGTAATTGATTTTATTTAATATCTTCTTCCTACCTTCATAATCTTCTCTCTTCTTTTTTTGGCTTTTGCTCTTTTGAGATTTGGTCTCTAATGCAGGGACACAAAGCTTGAGGAACATTGCTTTTCTTAGCCAATATGTTAATATAAACTAAAACCTTGTCAATATAGCCGATATGTCACTTTTTCATAAGTTTGCTGACAAATTGTCTGAAGAGGCCAATATAATTTGTTTACATTGACAATAACTGGCCTTTCTCTTCATTTCATATGTATTTGTTTGTCTCTTTTTCATCTACACCCACCACAATGTATAAATAAGCAAGGAAAAGACAGTTATTTCTGATCTCTTTCCTGCAGATGGTGGCAGCATTGGATTGAATATGTGAACCAAGATCAAACAAACAATACATATGATGGGGCTTCCTATTCAGAGCATTGTGATTTGGCTAATTCAAATGCTTTAAAGAGGCCATCTGGTATTGATAATTCTGATTTGATTTATGATGGAATGCCTGAGGACTCTGTGGCTGGTGTTGAGATCCATGATACATTGTTAGAGGGCAGAGACTATGTATTGCTTCCCCAAGATGTTTGGAATCAATTATATTCATGGTGAGATTGCTTGCTTGTTGCTCAAGTCAAATTCAGTTCATCTCATATGTGAAAATAGTTTCTTTCCCCTGACTTCTTTATTTTCACGGTGTTTTTCAGAAATCTGCCAGTAGGTACTAACTTCTTGTGGGTGATGTCATCATGAGCAGTTAATTGTTAAGCTGCATGTTAGATTTTATTCACTTTCGTTTGAAAACATCAAGTTCAATTAATTTGAGCCATAAAGAAAGAAAAAAGAAAATTTTTATATTCTATTGCTATTGTATGAAGAAGTTATTTAGTTTTAGGGAAAAGCTAAAAAATATAAAGGAATTGCAAATTTGATTACTTGTAGCATTCCTCTATATTCTAAAAAAGCCAACAAGCCTTGTCGCATTAGGTGGGTTGGTTA